TTGTGAATATGTTACTCATATCTTTAATATATGTGATTCCTGTAATAATCTGGATTACGATTTTATTTGGACACCCATAATAAACTCGCAAAATTTTTTGGACAATCTAATAAACGTGTGCGGCCTAAGAGATAGAAATAATTCTGTAGGCCAGAAAAATTTACGAAACAAAAATTAAATGAGATAAATGGTGGCCTAGAGGGAAAATCGTCATATGTTTATATGGAAAAGATTATTTTATTTATTACAATAAATAATAATACCATGTATTGTAGATTCAGAATCAAAAGCTAATACTTTCGAAGCTCAATCAATTATTAAAAACTTTAAAATTTTATACATATATGGCAAATATATTTTTAGAAAATTTTAAAGGCCCATCACCGAACTATCTTCAAACAAAGAATAATGGTATTTATTGGACCATGGTTAAAGTTTCCATTTGGACTTTTTTTCAATTGAAATAAAAGGATAGAATATGAGGTTACCTGACTATCACGGAATGCGAATCACCATGTCAGAGAAGTCGCAAGAAAAGATTTCTATAAATATAGATGAAAGTTCAAATAATCCTATTTAAAGTTTTCTAAAAATAAAGGCCTCATTAATGATGTTCAAAATATTCACCCAAAAAATTTTGGCATATTATGAGGGTATCAAGGAATCGGTAGATATAAAAGCCGAATTAGCAAAAGAATTACGATAAAAATTTACTTTGTTTGATAAGATATATGAAAATAAAAATATCTAAAAAATATAATAGAATTGGAAGAAATTTCGGACAATGAATTTTATTGCAATAATGCGAAAATTGCATATATGCATAGTTACAATCTCCATATTTCAGAATCAGCTGAATCGATTTCGTGCTATTAACATTGTCAGTTACACAATTAATCAGTTAGTGGAGATTCAGTAATTTAAAACTAATAAAAAATGAGATTTGAATTTCCTCTTTATTTACGAAACGATAGTCTTTATTATATAATCTATTAATTAGGAGCAATTTCATGTTTGTAATTATAAAACATTTTTAAAAAAATTTCATTATACTTTCTATAATCTATATCCACAACAAGTATAATTTTACATGTACCGTATCATTTCTTATTTTATATGTGCAATAAATAAGTATATTATATGTGCGATTCTTAACCCATTAATGGTCAAGATTTTTCTAGTGGATAAAAATGCTCAATTTTTTCAAATTATATTGATTAATTCTCAAATATGATATTCTAAAAAAATCAGCCAAAAAAAATAATCCTAAATAGAAAATCTAGCCTGGTGCATATATCCACTGTTAACCATTAAGAGGTTAAAAAAGATAAAAATTATATAAAATACTATAAGATTAAAAAACAACAAATATCTTTATTCTTTTTTTGTAATTTATAATAACTACGAGAAAATGTTTATATATTATGAAAATCCTTGAAACATTTAATATGGAGTGCGATTTGACATGTTTGGCACATATATCTTGAGTGCGTATGGCAATATCTGCATCTTCGTCTTTTTCCATCTATAATTTTGGATAAATATTGTCCAGATGAATCAATAGGGTTTTCACACTGTAATGCAAACTGGCTGGCGTGACCTGTACTTGAATTTTTTTCAATTTTTACTGGCGTTCGAAGGAGGTAGTTAGTAACTCCTCATCTAAATGCAAGCAAAATCTTCTTGTCATCTCGATTCACGAATTTCCAGATTTTCCATGAATTTACCAAAGCTGCATCAATAAAATTGGTGAAAACTGGCCACCACCATTTTTTTCCTCTTATTTTTATTCTATATGTAGATATTAGATTATCACATAGATCAACTCCACCCATGTGTTTGTTATAAGCAGTTACCATATTTGGCTGAGGAATTTTTATTTTAGAAGATATTTTCTTAGAATATCTTGAAACATTAGAAAGCAAAGAGATAGTGTGGCATGTCGATGCAACGGTCACCACCGAATTATCATTCCAACGAACTACAAATATTTCGCTTAATTTTTCAAACCTATAATCATAATATCCTCTTTCTTTTTTTGCTACAACCTTTATAGATTCAACTGGGCAATGCTCTATTCTATTATCCCTCACAGTTCCAGTTGCAAAATATCCCATTTGTTTTAAGTATGACAAGAGTTTAAATGATGTAAAGAAATTTTCAAAATATATTTTATGATAATTTGGTTTTTGCAATGCCTTTAATAATTTTATGATTACATTTCCACCTAATTCATATTTATTTTCGCTTTTTCCTTGATATATATCAAATGAGAATACGTAACCGTCGGAAGAAGCCAATATCCAAGACTTGTATCCGAATCTAATTGGTTTTCCTTTTATGAACATTTTGCAAGAATGTCTTCCTCGATATGGTATCATCTGTTCATCTATTGATAAATGATGTTTGAAAATTCCGAATTGCTGAAATTTATTATTCAATATATTAATGTAAGGCCTAACTTTATAAAATCTATAATGTATATCTATTTTAGTATTGTCTGCCAAATGGATATTACATTTCAAATTTCGAAATTGTAATTGGGTCATTGTATCCCGGATTATTGGAATAGAAATATCGCTATCATTAGACCAGTACATTCTTTCTTGTGGGAGAGAATGATATCCAGTAAATAATAGAATTCCAATAAATCTCTGAATATCTTGGATGGTTATGCATATGTTAGGTCTATTCATTTGTTTAGCATAAATATTACTTAGTTCTACAATTAGGGAATATAAGTCTTCGTCGAAAATTAAAGAAAATATATCTGATGGACTTTTACCATGTAAATCATTTTCAAGTTTTATTACATCTTCCTTTTCTCCATTGAAAGGGCTTGAAGAATATATTGCATCCGTTTTCTCCATTTTAAATTGTGAGAAATTCGAGAATAGCTTCTTGTAGAATATGGTTCTGGAAGGTCGTCATCAACTGAATTATGAATCTCCAATTTTCCAGCTGTATCTGAAGGCAAAACTCCGACATTTGTTAAGTCATTTTCATCGAAATCTTCTTCATCACTAACTGCAGAGGGGTTTGGCGGAATTATAACCATATATCTTTCTTCAATTGGTTCCTCTTCAAAAAGTTGAGAAAGCGCTTCAATTATTAGAAAACGTTTCATTAAAAAAATTTATTAAAAATTAAATATCTAGACAAATTATTTTCGTAGAATCTTGATATTTTTATTAGTCATCTATTATTTTGATAATTTTGATTGAATTGACAAAACAGGTGCATAATATTTTATATAAATAAAATTAAATCTTCAGAAAGGAAGAGGCTAAAAATAATTTTAAACTTTTGAATATTTATGAACCTAATAATTTCATATAATTTGATCGGGATAAAAAATTATAATAGGAACAATATATTATTCGATTTAATCTCAGGGGGCTAAAAAAAATTTTTAAATTATTTTCAAAAGGTCTTTTTTTGGGTATAAAATTTTTTAAAAAAAAATCTTAGGGGCTCGAGCCACCCACCCCTCCTCCCCCCCCCCTCCCTTAGTGACGGTAGTGGTATAAAAAATTATAATTCATTATGTTAAATTTCATTTGTTTGAATTTTTTTAAATAATTTATACTGCTAGATGGTTAACGGTGCATATATGCACCAGTCAACTTTATGTGGTTACCTATTAAAATTTTAATTATTTAAAAATTCAAATGTGATTGATAAATATTGATATATCTATAAAGAATATATACACACTAGTTTTCATCGAAATAATTTTATAATATGCTTGTGAGATAACTTAGAAAATTTTGCATTTTAGACCTCATAAATTCGAAAAGTTTGAGGGTTTCTTAGGGACATAAAAAAATATTTTTTTCATATTTTTCTTTTCCAGTTTTGAAGTACAATGTCTGAACTATATAAAAATCTTTTTTATTATTTTTTAAAATAAAAACTACTATGTTAAAATAAGGTATATAGGAGGTGGTGCATATATGCACCGTTAACCAGTAACGGGTTAAAATAAAATATGGGATTTAAACATATATATTAACCTTTTTTTAAAAATCTCATTATTAAAGGGACAATAGCAGCAGTATAATTTTACCCCATCATTTTGGACATCTTTTTGTAGAAAAATATGAATAAAAACAAGCCTTTAAAGGAGAGCGAATGCCGAGTAAATTGACTGAAGGCCTGTAAAATTGGGAGTATTAATAGATGCCCCTATAAAAATAAGTTACCAAACTTTTCCTACGAAGCTCCAGCATCGCCAGTCCACCCTTGCATCCGTTGATGGGTAATTTGCTAGTAAACTCAAATATTTCGTCACATGACTGACTTGATCTAAGAACATTTCAATTTTGATAGTCGTTTATTTTTATTTGTTTTCTCAAAATTTATTTATCTAAGAGCAAAAATTTTGTGAGTTAGGGTAAATGCTTGCAAATTATATTTAAATAAAAACCAGAGCTGGGGCTGATTTAAATATTATTTAAAAAAATATTTGGGGATTTTGCTATGCTTATGGAAAAAAATGATTATTGTAAGCTTTAAAAAGAAATAGACTTAAAAACTGAGCTTTATTTTTATTAATTAAATTTATATTATCATAAAAGTCCAACAAATTGGTCAATCATTTGCATCTCATTACAATTGTCAAGAAATACTTTATTTAAATGGGTATTTGTGAAATTAAATTTTAAAGTTATTCAAGCATATTGAAAATCTAAATAATTTATTTTTTATATAAATTAGAGCCCCCAGAGTTCCAAGCTAAGACAGGATTTAAAAATTTTTTTATTTACCAGACACATGCTGATTATTTATATAGTCAATCTCGTTTCTTAAAATAATTTAGGTTGTATTTTGAGTACTAAATGAATGTTAAATGATTTCTTATATGATTTTCCATCTGATTAATCAATTCATTTCAAAATAATCGGTCAAGCCCTGTTTTTATATATAAATAAATTGTGCGAACTGTCATAATTTTGGCACTTATTAGATAAACAAATATTTATTAAAAAATGTCGCGTAATATAAGACATATAAACTTTAATGGTTTTATTTGTGTCTCTAAATATTTGGTCATATATTATAATATATATATCTATGTTTAAATATTAAAAATAAATTATTTCTTTTTGGTTGAATTTCTAGAAAATTGACGTCAGGGGTTGAAGTCGAAACATATAATTTTACTTAACTTTATTTAAGAGAGAGAAATCTTGCAAATATCAGTAATTTTAAGAAGAATTCTCGTGTCCGATTCCAATCTGACGTAATAACCAACAAGCTCATTTCCTTCCTTATAATGCGCAAGTGATAGATTCTTGATATTTGGATGCAAATCATAAAACTTTTCAATATCTTTGCGATTTTTCATTTGACAAAAATTTGAGTCTGGGTGTGTATAATTTTGAGATATCATTATTTGATCCAAGGATATCACATTAAGTCGCTGTCTGTAAAATTAAAATATTTATCTTTTATAAATTTTTTATCTAAATTTAGCATAATATTTATTGTAAAATAAAAAGATCGACTTGTTAATTTTAAGGTTACAAGCGGGAACAAATGGTTGATCAGAAATTTCGAAAATAATATCCTTGGAAGAACTTCGATCTTCATTATATAATTCGTTGACAAATTTGACATAAGGGCGATTACTAATTGATGCTAATTAAGATATTTACATTATAAATATTTCATATAAAAAATTAAACCGTTATGATCTGAAGAAACAGATAGGTTTTTAATGTTGTGCCGATATGTATCATAAAGATTCATATATTCTTTATGTATAAAATAGATATAAATTCACAAAAATTAATTCAACTTTTAAGAAATTTTTTCATCTTATTAGATTTTGCATAATCAATACAATTTTTCCCGGTGTATGTTTTAAGAGTAGGATCGGCCCCAAAAGATATCAATATTTTGACTAAGCAAATATCGTCCATCTCAATTGCTTCATGTATGGGCCTAAAATATATAAACCATTAGTATAATATGTATAGTAGTAATTTTATGGTAAGTGAGGTTATAGAATAATATAATAGAAAAAATATGTGCCAAGGACCTGGTGCCATCTGACAAAGAGCAATTAGGGTTGGCTCCGTGCTTTAAGAGTATTTTGACGCAATCAATGCTCGAAGATAAACACGCCTCATGTAGTGGTGTGTAACCTGCATTTTCTTTCACATTTATGCTCTCCTTAAACTCTTTTCCGTGAACTAGATATAGGCATAAATCCTATATTCGAATTTATCATTAATAAAGGATATACAATATTATACCAAAGCTTAGAATAAGTTTTATAAAAATATAAAGTTTATGTAATCTTATTTTAAAAATTGGAACTTTTTGTTGGAACTACGAGATAAAAAAAAGGCTTAAATAACTAAACTAAAACACAAAATTATATATGTAAATAAATAAATAATACGGTGAGATTTCGGCGACAAACAGTATGTAATATAGTTTCACCGGATGCCTTATTAGGAACTATTTTTTTAAGCTCTACATTGTAAGATTCTTGACTTAAAATACTTTTACTGTCAATTGGACAATCGCATTGGTTAACGATTGTTTCACAGGACTGTTTCTTATATATATATTTAAATAAATTTAATAAGTAATAGTTAAATTAAAATGGGCAAAAAATGTTAGTTTCAAAAACTATATAATAAAATAAGAGCATATAATTCGGGTTGGTGTGATTCTTACCAAAAAAATATGGAATAAATATAAGTTAAAAATAGAAAGGGATAAATTTCTCATTTTATAGTTAGAGATAATGATACTGGTCCTACTATACCGATCTTAATATATTATCAATAGTATTTTTATTTAACCTTGAGTGGTATATTGCGGTATAGCAACACATAAAGAGTCATCCCATGTCAAATGAGCAAAAATATGAAATTTTTAGCATACCTTTTTTAATTTATGTAAAAATTTGTGGGCAGATCATATTTTCCTAATTATAATTACCCGAGATAATGTGTGTGGATTAATAAAAATCTGATTTTATTTATGAGGAAAACATCTAATTTATTTTGGCCTGTAGAAAATTAAAAATTAATATTTAGAAATGAGCAGAAGTTCCAATGTCTATTTTTTTAAATACTTAGTGCGGCTAATTATTTAAAAAAATATCACGATTAATGTATAAAAATGTATAGATGGCATGGTATATGAACGTTTCAATATAGTAAAAGATTTTTCCTATTGTTTAAAACTATTTTAAGGCAATAAATTATTTATGAATGACATCATATTGAATTTTTTTTTATAAAATTTTAATTAAAAACAAATTATTTAACATTGGAAAAGTGTAAAAAAATTCGATTTTACCTCTCCCAATTATCTCAGGTAATATAATTGTTGATGGGCTAAAATTCGTTTTTAATAAAACTAGAACATATACCATGTGCCTACAAATTTTTATCGAAATTAAAAGAGGTGGAATATATTTAAAGGATGCCCCCCCCCCACCGTAGTTTAAAATTGTTACTACAAAAAAAAACTAATCGATATTTTAATCCGGATTTTTGAGTAGCATCCTATCTATAACTATTTTTATTTTAAACTAATATCATTTAAATAAAAATTTTGATTATCTGAAAAGATTTTTATAGTAAGGTATGAAATATAGTACCAAAATCAATCTTGTTTTATTTTAAAAACTCTTTACTAAATTCTAAAAAAAATTTCTAAAATATTAAATACTAATATTTTCATTTCTATAAATATCACAGGGTAATATAAAAATTTAAGTGAGATAAAACATTTTTAAAATGGGGGTGAGATATGACCCCCCTTCCCTCCCCCTTCCTCCAACAAATTGCTTTTCTTCATCCACTCAAGGGTTATTCCATGTCAAATGAGCAAAAAAATCAAGATTTTCGGCCGACCCCTTTCAATTTCGATAAAAAGTTGTAGACTGGTTATATATGTTCCCATTAGATTATAAACAAAATTTTAGCGCATTAGCAACTATATTAGCCGAGATAATCGGGGTTAAAGGTCCAAAAAACGTCTTTTTTTGCTTTTTACTGATGTCAAATAATTAGTTTTTAATTTAAAACTAAATATGATCAAATATTGAATCTAATATCAATAGCTAAGTTAATAATTTATGATTATGACAAAAACATCAAAATTAATTTTTTATAAAATATGGGTCATCTTATGGTCAGTTGAAAACTTGAAATTAATATTTCGAAATGTATATGATCTCCGATTTTTAATTTTTTTAAGAAATATTATCCGTTTACTATTTTTTTAATAATTTCTTCAACAATTAGCATGGCTGGATATTTATTTTAAAAAATATTGCGATTTTTATACTTTAAAAAAAATAGATGGCGCTATATATAATAGTTTTAATATGTTAAAATTTATTTTTTTATTGATTAAAAATATTTTAATGTATAATATATCATAAAATTAGATTATATAACTTTGTAAACCTTATTCCCTTGAGATATTCGCAGGATAAAAAATTTTAATAATTTTTTTAATATTTCAATGTAAATTAAAAATAATTAAAAAATCCGACTAACATGCGAACAAAAAAGCAGGATTAAAGGAGTGCAGGAAAATTATTAAGGGAAAAATCGAAAATCATATAATTACCCGGCCTACCCCCCATCCCCCCTCCAGACTAAGTCATACCCATCAAGACCAAGAATGTTATAAAATTGTCATTAACCAGAAAATTTCAAAGATTTTTAAAAAAATTTTAAGCGATATAATTAACAAAAAATTAACTAGTTATAAAATTTTGGGTATCAAATGAATTTGAGCATTCTCTATAAAATTTTTGATCAAAGTCTTTGAATTTTGAGCATATGTTTAACACTGAAAAAATTAATAAAAGTAAGTCAGCTGTTTTTATCTTTTCTTAAAATTATTAAAAATAAACTGATTAGCAAAATTAATTAGCGAATTTAATCAATAAATCACAGTTGCTAAAAATACAAATTGATTTCTTTAATATTTTTTCACAAACACCGATTCATATCTTTTACATATAAATATTTTTACTTGTCATTTAAAAATAAATAAATTTTTTTAAATGAAACCCTTAAAAGATAAGATAAAATGTTGCAATCCACTGAATAAAGTTAATCATAAAAATTTTAAAAAAAATTTAAGATCAGTTCTTCCATGGATGCTTAATATAAATAATCATTTATATCTTCAACAAAAAATATGTAATTCGTGCCGATACCAGTTAAGTAAAATTGGTCCACATATTCCCGAAGAATTTATATCCCCAATAACCCATAATCAGGATGCCTTTGAATCGATTAATGAAACATTACACAATATTGGAGAATCACCAATTAAAAGAAAACGTTTAATGGAGAAAAAATATCCTAAAAATAAAATTCAAAATATTGAAAAAGCAATAAAGAGTAAGGTTTTAGAAATATCTGATTCCGAGATTGATAGTCCAATGAAAGAGGAAATTCTTATTATATTAAAGGATAACTTTGATAAATTATCAAAAAAATCAACAATATCAAATTCTTACAATTTTGCCTCAAGGATGGAGTGTAAATAAAATTCAAAAGGAATTCAACGTAACATCATACATGGCAAGAAAATCTAAAATGATGGTAAAAGAAAGTGGAATTCTTTCATTTCCAAAACATAAGGCAGGAAAGACACTAAACGAAAAAACATTTAAACTCGTCAAGGATTTTTATAGTTCTGATGAAATAAGCCGACTCATGCCAGGAATAAAAGATTGTGTATCTGTTAAAGGCGAGAAAGAACCAGTTCAAAAAAGACTTATATTAAATAATCTTAAAGAAATATTCAAGATGTTTAAGGAAGAATACCCAAATATATCAATTGGATTCTCTAAATTTGCCGAACTTAGACCAAAAAACTGTATTTTAGTTGGAGCTAGTGGCACACACACTGTTTGTGTCTGCGCTATTCATCAGAATGTGAAATTAATGACAAATGTAATAGTTGAAATTACAGCAGGAGAAGATTACGCAAATTATTTGTAATCCATCTCAGCCAAAATGTTATTTAACAAATTGTGATCAATGCCCTGGTATAGAATCTCTTAAGGGACAATTATACCAATTGTTTCAGAGAAATCGTATAGAATATGTCACGTTTAAACAATGGATCACGGTGGATAGAACAAATCTTGAAACTATTATAAAGTCCGTTGATGATTTCATCGATTATTTATTAGAAAAAGTTCAAATTTTACTGCGTCACTCGTTTATAGCTAAACAACAAAGTTTATTTTTGAAGAATTCCAAAGAAAATTTAAAAGATGGGGAATTTTTAACAATTCTAGATTATTCTGAAAATTATTCCTTCATTTTACAAGATGAAGTTCAGGGATTTCATTGGAACAACGTGCAGGCCACTATACATCCATTTGTAGCATATTATAAATCTGAGATTTAAAAAATATAAATTTTGTTATTATATCCGAATCATTAAACCATAATACTAGTGCAGTCCACCTTTACCAAAAAAAATTTCTTAATTTCTTAACAGCCAAATTTAATTCTAAACCAGAAAAAATAATATATTTTTCAGATGGAGCCGCGTCTCAATACAAGAATCGCAAAAATTTTCTGAACATATGCCTTCATAAATACGATTTTAATATTCCTGCCGAATAGCATTTCTTTGCCACTGCTCACGGCAAAAATGCATGTGACGGTATCGGGGGAACTGTCAAAAGATTAGTTGCCAGAGCTAGTCTTCAAAGGCCAAATAAAAATCAAATCCTAACCCCATTAGAATTATATAATTATGCTAAAGAAAATATTAATGGAATTCAATTTGAATATATATCCAATCAAGAATATATCAAAGGGGAATTAGCCCTTCGCAAAAGATTTAATTCTGCACTGCCCATACATGGGACCTTAAAAATTCACGTGGTTATTCCCATTGATCAAAATAGACTAAAAACCAAAATATATTCAAATTCTAAAAAATATAATATAAAACAAGTTTCGTTTTTAAATGAAAAAATTATATTTAAAAATATTAATGGATATGTAACATGTGTATATGATGATAAATGGTGGTTAGGATATATAATCGATAAATATGATACAAATGAAGAAGTAAAAATCCGATTTTTATACCCTTGTGGACCTTCAGCCTCATTTAAATTTCCCCTGAAAGATGATATTTTAGTGTTACCTAAATCTCATATTCTTTCGCTGGTCAATCCTTCTACTCCCACCGGTCGAACATATATATTATCTCCTGAAGAAATCTCACAAGCTAGCCAGGCTTTGTGTTCCTTTAGATGAAGTAAGATTTAATTAATTTATAAACTATCTTAATTAGGCTAAATTTGTGAAGATTTTAAAAATTTATGATCTGAATTACAAATAAATATATATAATGGACATTGTAATCGATTTAGTATGATATATATACATTAAAATATTTTTAATCAATAAAAAAATGAATTTTAACATATTAAAACTATTATATATAGCGCCATCTATTTTTTTTAAAGTATAAAAATCGCAATATTTTTTAAAATAAATATCCAGCCATGCTAATTGTTGAAGAAATTATTAAAAAAATAGTAAGCGGATAATATTTCTTAAAAAAATTAAAAATCGGAGATCATATACATTTCGAAATATTAATTTCAAGTTTTCAACTGACCATAAGATGACCCATATTTTATCAAAAATTAATTTTGATGTTTTTGCCATAATCATAAATTATTAACTTAGCTATTGATATTATATTCAATATTTGATCATATTTAGTTTAAAATTAAAAACTAGTTATTTAACATCAGTAAAAAGCAAAAAAAGACGTTTTTTAGACCTTTAACCCCGAATATCTCCGCTAATATAGTTGCTCATCCGCTAAAATTTTATTTCTAATCTAATGGGAACATATATAACCAGCCTACGATTTTTCATCAAAATCGAAAGGGGTCGGCCGAAAAGTGATTGATTTGACATGGAATGACCCTCAAGATTTATTATTTATGAATAAATAAGAGTGACGTGAAAAAAAATTATATATGAGGTTGCGGAGTCCTTTCGAACCCCAAATTTAAATTAATATTTCAGGAATTTGTACAAATTGGAATTTAAAATTTTTGACATACTATCTAAAAATATTTCATATTCTAAGGTTTTGATATGATAAAAACTCACTTTTATAAAAATGAATTTAAAAATTCATGCTTCTGAGCTATTAAATTTATTATGGAGATTATTTTTATATATATTAAATATTTGCAAAAATAAAAAAAACCGGAAGATATCGGTGTTTACTGAAATATTTAAGTATCGGAATGGGCAAAAATATCTGGAATAGTGTATTATACTATCTAAAACTTTTAATCTATTAGAATAAAAAATTTGAGGTATATAGATAATTGTTAATAAAGCTCAATATCGAACTAAAAAAATCAACAAGGATTATTAGTGGAATATTATAGCAAACCTTATTAAGCTGGATGTTGGTAACCATGAGTTTACTATTGTTAAACATTAATGATTTTTTAATATCTTTAGAGGGTGGATTATATTGGTCGAGATGGCGAGGATATTTATTTTCATGTAAATAAGTTGCTCCTTTTTTGCTATGAAAAACGGATGAGTGAGCTATATCCAATATATTTTCTATTAAATTAATCGTATAATCAGACTCTGCCTTTTTTCGTTCCCAGCCTATATTTTAATATAAAAGAATATTAATGTATCCCATAAACAGTTAAAAAATATGAATATTATCTTTATAAATTGGGGTGCGATACTAATTTTTGGAGGCCGATCGGATATTACCGATATTACATCTATGATTATATTAAAACAATGTTAACGTATATAATTTATCATTTATAAGGGATCGTTGATTTTTTTTTGCTCCAAAAGTCTATCTAAGTATGCAATGTAAACTGTTAGAATATTTTAAAATTATTTACTTAGTTTTAAAATCATCTACATCCTTGCAAAAAAATCATATATTTTATAATTTTTTGAAAATAGGTTTTAAATTTTTTATCACTTCAATTATATATATAAGAATTTTTTATCATATACATAAATATGTTTTCTTAAATATTAATAAATTTAAATAAAAAAGCCATTTTATCGGATCTCATCGGCAAACTTAATATCGGCCGATAACCGATATTTCAAAAAGGTAAAAAATCGGTTACATCTGATGCGATAAAAATCGGTACATTCATTCCATATTTATAAACTTAGTAACATAAATAAATGATAAATAATTTTAAAAAATTAACTTTGGTCAGATGGTTTCGTATTTTGATCTTGCGAATTAATGAGTAAATGAAGAGGAAAGTGAATCATGATAGTTGGTTTTGAAAGGTGCCGGTAAAATCTTTTCCCACATTTTAGCATCTTATTTATATCAATAACTGTTTCATCATCCTCGGAACCTTTATATATTTTTTAGGCTGAATACTTAAAAAAATTAAACCGGAATACTCCGTGAAAGAAAAAACTGTAGATATATTGGCTTTAGTAACATTATTATCTTCTTTAATGGATAAAATCTGTGATTTGCATTTTTTCGTAGAAGATAAGGTTTTAAGCGCTTTATCTAAACAAAGTAAAAATAAGTTAATAGATTAAAAAATTACTAGAAGTTTTCTCTCTTTTAACAGAATCAGCAAACCGTTCCACCTTTTTATCCTAAAATAATGTAATAATTTTAAAAATGTATAATAGCAGTACTCTAATATTAAATTTAAAGTAATTTAATAAAAACAGAAAGATGATTATCGAAAATTTATTTCCAAATATCAATCAGCTCTGATGAATATATAAAAATTAGTGCTTACCTTGCCCAAAACGTAACTCATAGCATAGTTACCTTATTGAAAATGAAATGTAACTATTTACACTTATTTATTTAATTCTAGTGATCAAAAAGTATATATATATTGTATCTCTATAGTAACCAAAAATTCAATTAGTCTATTTATGATTAAAGTAAAATGTTAAAAGTTTTTACAAATTATTCATATTTTAAAGTTATTATCCTTGTAAAAATATGATGTATATTATTTATTTTTTTGACAAATTTTAATTATTTATAGGTTTATAAAAAAATTTATCACTTTAATTATAATAAGAATGACCAAACCTATAAATGAAAATATTTTCTTAATTATCAATAAATTTTAAAAAAATTCAAATTATGTCATAATATCAGCGGATAACTCATATTTCGATGCAGGTAAATAATCGGTCCATTCTCATAAAAAATATTGGCACATCCCTTAATTGATGACTTAATTTTTTCAAAAAATAATATTAATATGACTTATTTAATGCATTAAACAAAATTAGTATTAAGAAAAAAAATAATCATGAACAAATCATAATGGTTAGCGCCAGTGTTATTAAAGTAGTGCATAGGCAAAGCCAAAGGGAAGGGGCAGGGGGAAATTCCCCCCTTCAGAAATTTATTACTTTTTGTGAATATCATTTTAAGCTAATAAAAAATATCCCCCTTAGTCCTCCCCCCACTCCCTGACCTTCGAAAATGTATGCCTATATCTTAAACAATAATTTGAAAGAAAGAATGTAAAAGTTGATATTTTTTATAAAACTATTCATCATAATTTATACATTTTTGGAAAAAAGCATTTATATATATAAAAAGTGAACCAAAAATGTTTTTTAAAAAATGGAATATAAGCCAAAGATAAGTCTTAAGACAAAAATGAAATGTATTATAATAATAATAGATCCATAAAATTAATAAATAATATAATATATCAAATATAAATTTTTATAAAGTGAGTAATTTTTATTTATTTTAATAAAAGTAAATTATAATTATAAAACTATAGATAAAATTAAATCATAAATTAAAAAAAATTAAAGCACAATACAAACATTGGAATATTATATGTCGTAGATTTACACTATATCTAATTTTATCAATTATCAAAGGACAATCAAATAATTTTTACCAATATAGCGAATTATATATTTTACAGAAAATTATAAAATATTGATAAGGACATCCGAAAATATCTTTTAAAGACATTGTGAGTAATATCATTTTTTTATAAAATAAATAGATGGCGTTAAATAATTGAATACTAATTGTTGATATATTTATTATCAAGAGCATTGATTAGTAAATTTTGTAAAATATTAACTGTAATATATTCTCTAACTGTCAAATATGTCTGTAAAAGGGGAATTATACCTAGTATTTTGTAAGCAATTCTATATAAGAGGAATATCAACTATATGTCTATTTACTTTTATAAATAAATTTCTTATACTTGTTTGGAATAAATTATTACCATGCTCTTTATATTAATGTATATGTTAGCGGCAATGTGAAATATTCGGCAATGTGAGGTAGTGGTAGGCAGGGTAATTTTGTTATTTCGGCAATGTGCACATTGCTGGGTTAAATCAGGCAATGTAATTTTTGTAATATTATATTATTAATAATTTTTTCGTTATTATTAATAATTTTTTAAGATTAATATTATATTTTAATTTGTTACAATATATTTTTTGATTGATATTTTTCTTCTTGATCGCTAATTTTTTTTATTTTTTGTGTTATATGTTTTTTTAATAAATTTTTTTGATTGATATTTTTTTTTATATTTTTTATTTTTTGTGTTTATATGATTTTTTTTAATATATTTTTTTAAATATAAATTTTTTTAAATTTATAATTGATATATCTTTTAATCGCTAATTTTATTTATTTTTGTGTTATATGATTTTTTTAATAAATTATTTTGATTGATGTTTTTAAATATATTTTTTTAATAAATTTTTTTAAATATATTTTTTTGATTGATATTTTTTAATGTATTTTTTTATTAAATTTTTTTAAATATATTTTTTTGATTGATATTTTTTAATATATATTTTTAAAGTGATTATTATATATTTAGATTTTACGTAATTTTATCTATTATATATCTTTTGATAGATAATTTTTTAGGTAATAGTGATAAATGTCATAATCGTTATTTTTGAACTTTTTTGAGTTTTTTTAAAGCAAATAGATAAAAATATGTTAAATTAATATTTCAGTGGTGCACTATGGAAAAGTGACAATTGTCATAATCGTTATTTTTGAACTTTTTTGAGTTTTTTAAAGTAAATGGGTAAAAATATGTTTTGTAAACATGTTAAATTAATATTTCAGTGAAAGTGCACTATGAAAAAGTGACAATTGTCATAATCGTTATTTTAGTACTTTTTTAAGTTTTTTTAAAGTAAATGGGTAAAAAAATGTTTTGTAAACATGTTAAATTAATATTTCAGTGAAAGTGTAATATGGATACGTGACATTTGTCATAATCGTTATTTTTGAACTTTTTTGAGTTTTCTTAAAGTAAATGGGTAAAAATATGTTTTGTAAACATGTTAAATTAATATTTCAGTGAAAGTGTACTATGGAAAAGTGACAATTGTCATAATCGTTATTTTTGAACTTTTTTGAGTTTTTTAAAGTAAATGGGTAAAAATATGTTTTGTAAACATGTTATTAATATTTCAGTGAAAGTGTATTATAGAAAAGTGACAATTGTCATAATCGTTATTTTTGAACTTTTTTGAGTTTTTTTAAAGTAAATGGGTAAAAATATGTTTTGTAAACATGTTAAATTAAAATTTCAGTGAAAGTGCACTATGGAAAAGTGACAATTGTCATAATCGTTATTTTAGAACTTTTTTTAGATTTTTTAAAGTAAATGGGTAAAAATATGTTTTGTAAACATATTAAATTAATATTTCAATGAAAGTGTACTATGGAAAAGTGACAATTGTCATAATCGTTATTTTTAAACTTTTTTTAGATTTTTTAAAGTAAATGGTTAAAAATATGTTTTGTAAACATGTTAAATTAATATTTCAGTGAAAGTCTACTATGGAAAAGTGACAATTGTCATAATCTTTATTTTTGAACTTTTTTGAGTTTTTTTAAAGTAAATGGGTAAAAATATGTTTTGTAAACATGTTAAATTAATATTTCAGTGAAAGTGCACTATGGAAAAGTGACAATTATCATAATCGTTATTTTTGTACTTTTTTTAAAGTAAATGGGTAAAAATATGTTTTGTAAACATGTTAAATTAATATTTCAGTGAAAGTGTACTATGGACAAGTGACAATTGTCATAATCGTTATTTTTAGGCTTTTTTAAGTTTTTTTAAAGTAACAGATCGTTCACTAAAGTGAATAAATATTTAAAATGTATTTACTCACAGAATTGAAATAAATAAGTCAAAGATATTATAGTTAGTTGATATACAAATACCCGATGCAGGATTATATATTTAAATATATTTCGTAGTTAACATTTTAGGAAAAAATAAATTAATCTTACAATTATTTTATTCTTATATTGGTCTACTATTATAAATTATATTTAAAAAAACATTTCCGGATGTTATGAAGATTAAAGTTTAATCATAATAGTGGAATTTATTATCATTTAAAGTGATAAATGTTTTATTAATAAAATCTTGAATTTAATCAAATCAAAAAATGACGATTTGCAGGAAAATATCTCATCATTAATTTTGAATATGGGCCATTCCATGTCAAATCGATCAAAAAAGGCCCATTTTCGACCGACCCCTATTAAAATTGTTAAAAATTTCTGGAATTATTTAGAAGGGGAAATAAAAGATAAAGCCGTTTATTTTAGCTCGCTAGCACACCTAGTTCTTGAGATATAGGGGCTTATAGGTACAAAAAAGAGCCAATTTGGAATCTGTAAAAATTTTAAAATGCTTATATCTCAAGAACTATTTATAGTAAAAAGATTTATAATATATCATATTGTAGGTAAAAAAAATCTCTAAAAGGCTATCAAAAAATAATAAAAATTGGCGCCAATTTGAATCTTTAACTTCCGGTTTATCTATAATGCTTTACCTGTATTTTTAAGCAAAAAAGGGAGTTTGTTTTTGAAATTTTTTTATAGCTTTTTATTTAGACACCTTTTATAAATATATATACGATGTCAAAACTTTGGCGACGCTATCGACTCCAAAATTTTAAAAAAATAATAGATGGCGTTTTATGAAATTACGGATTTTGGTTAAAGTTTTGCTGCAAACTTATCAATAAACGGATATTTTCACTTTTATACTAAAAATATTTTAAATTTCTATTAAATATACTAAATAAATTGAGGGGCAGTGTGGGTAAATGCCCATTAGACACTTAATAATGTAATATATTTCCAATAATAAAATCTTTCGTATAATTTTTTTATTATTCATTCATATTAATAATATAGAAATAGAGATAGACAATCATATTCATTCCATAATTTAAAATTTGTGAAATGTTATATTTAATATTTGCGATTCTGTTTAATTAGAATAAAATTTTGTTTCAATTTTATCCTGAGAAATTGGATAAAAAGCATGAAATTTTTGCGTCCCTGGTATAGTACGGGCTTTGTCGAATCTCTCTTTTAAAATTATTTGTTCTTTCTCATATTCATCTTCCATAATATAGGAGAACTCTATTCCTTAATAAAAAAATTATAATATATATATTAATAAATTAGAAATCATATACCTTTTATATTTTTCTTACAATAGGCAAAAAACTCTTTAGGAGAAGTTATTTGTTCTGAAGTAGGTCTTTGTAAACTTGCTCTAGCCACTAAACGCTTGACGGTACCTCCG